AAAAAATGCACTGGAATCTTTTCCTGTAGAATAATACATTTCTACTTAAGTCTTCCTTTTTTTTTCTTTTTCTCTTTCTTACTAATTATTCCTTTGCTTTCTTCTCTCCTTCCTTTTTTCCGTTATTCTTCTTCTGTCTTAATTTACATTAATCTTGATTGGTTAGAATCTTTGAAAAACTTTCTACTATCATTCCCTTTTCTGCAATGACCCATAAGCTGAATGATAGCCACAGGCATTACATTGGAGATGTAATTGAAGTTGGGACATTGGAAATTCTTGGAGATAGTGATCACTCTATCTTTTTTGCTCTCACTAATGAAAAGGTATTAGAAGAAAAGGAAATATGGAAGTTATAATTTGTGTGGATATAATCTTGAGTTTTATATGCCTATATTTCTTAAAATAAGTAATTTGTAAACTTTGGTACTCTTTGCATTGTTAATAACCTGTCACTTGTGTTCTGCCGAAAGACTGAGAGGGACTGCCTTGTGGGGAAACTTTCAGTGTTTGAGAAATTCTGCACCAAACCCTAGATTCTCCAGTCTGTCACTGTAGGAGGAGAGAAAGAGTAGAGAAGGGTCAAGTTAATGAGATCTGATTTATTTGATCATTTAAAAAATAAGATTCTCTCCCTAAAACATCATGGGTAGCTATCACTTACGGAGTCCAGGTGCTGTTCTGAATAATTTACCTGCATTGTGTCACACCATACCCAAAACTATAGGAAATAGGTGCCATTGTTCTCATCATTTGGTAAATGAGGAGGCTAAGTAACTTGCTTAGTTACAATTCAGAAAGTGGTGAATCATTTGATATTAGACTCCACTCTGAGGTAAAAAGCAAAGTGCTAGAATATACGCAGTTTCTGTTTAGCAAAACAAAGCAAAACTAAAAGTACATCTAAATTTAAGCTTTTAGAGAATTAGGTTAATAAAAATCAAGAAACTCAAATAAAACTGAATCACTCATACCCAAAAGAGTATGAAAACTGGTTTCCTGGCTTTTCTGGCCTTGGGGAGACAATGAAAAAAGAGCCAGCAGAGTTGAATCCTAGCCATCAGGTGCAATGTTCTGGAAGCACTTAGGAAGAGAAGACTTTCAGGCAAGGGCACGTCTTTAGTGGAAAAATATTTTCATACCAGAATGTTGTTTTGCGGATTATCAATTCAGGCTAATGGCATTATATACATTTTACTAAATAAAATGTTGTTTTATTTAGTAAATAATAGGATAATCAATTCAAATTAAAAGCATTATATACATTTTATTGTTCTTCACTAAATTAGATAAATATTTTATCACCCTGCAGATATTACTTAAAAGTGGAAGTTGACTAAAATCATCATTTTCCCCTTACTCTCGGTAATTTAGGGATATCTATAGGTATTGAGATTTTGAAGCATATTTTGATAAGCTTTTATGTACTATCGTAGCTACATTTGTGAGTAATCCCTAATTAATTATTATATTTTCCTTACATGTAACTCAACTTTTGAACAAATCTAAGTATTTTATAGATAGACTTTCATGTTTTCTATAGTGTTGTGTTTTCTTTACTTTTTATTGAAAGTTTGACAGCAACAGATTTCTTTATGAAGATTTTTAATCCCCTTTTCCTGGGCTTATTTTGAAGATCATTAAGATTATTTACACTCTTCTCTGGCTGCCTGGTTTCAAAATCTAATTAATTTTTAAGGTACTGCCACTATATTCAAATTGAGGCTTACTCTTGAAAGGACATAAATGCAAAAATTCTAAAACCATCACTTCTCTCTCTTGTCTTTCCTGTTCTCTGCCCTCCTGGTTCTTTTGTTATTCAAGGGCCTGAAATTACATGATTTAAGGGCAACTGAGAATAAATTTAAAATACATCACTTATTTTCTAATCTTAATTTTTGATTATTATCCTTTTAATCACTTTATTTGTTCATATTTCTCGTTTTAATGGTGGCCTCTAACTATTTCAAGACAGAATTCTTACGTAATTGCTACTATTCAGTTTGGAATTCACTAAGAATTGCAACACTATATCCATATCTGATATTGTTATGTCCAAGTCTAGCCAGTCATTCTGCAGCTGGCCCATGGATTTCCTAATCGATCTTTAGACAAATTTATTAAACCTTTAACATTACTACACCCTTGCTCTCTACCAAGAAGAAGGAACAGTAGCTTTACAGATACTATTGTTAATCCACAAAGTAATACAACAAATCAATGTCATTACCTCTCATTTTTCTTTGAGAAAACTTAGAATGGGAGGGTCTCGATAATTCCCTGAGGTCAGAATTCTTATAAAAGGACAATATTTGAATCTGAATCTATTGAACTCCAGTATCTACCTAACTTCTCTGAATAACAAAGTCTGTGCTTCTTTGGAGTACCAGGCCATATCTTCTTCATTTGTGTCATATGGAAGAAACTGAAAAATTCCCTGTAACAAAGGCATAGGAGACAATGATCAATTGGCTTTATGGAGAAGAAAGCTATTCTATATCAAATGCATAGTATTTTACTCTGTAATCCATATAATCTAAAACACCTTGAAATCTTTGAGCAAACTTCCTCTGAGAGAAAGTTGTTTAATCAATTTTGCGAAAAATGTATTATATTAAAGATGTATTTTATAAATCATAGTTATTATCCCAGAATATACAGATTGTAGGTTTATAACACCCCTGCCTCCTTTTCTTTAACCAAATTTTATTTCTGTTATTGAAATAATTATGTAAGTGCATATAGGAATTTGAATTATATTCTATTTTAATCTGAAGATCAGTTGACCCATAACTCAGTGTAACCATCGCATTAAGTATTATTTTATTTAGAAATTGACCTAGATGTACTTTGAAGTTTTTTGGTTTATTTTGTTTTTTTACATCTTGAAGGACCTACAGTAGGATGGTTTCCATAATGGATTTCACCATGCCTAAGAAGTTTGTCCAGATGCTGGTTTTTAACTTGACTCTGACTGAAATTGCTCTAAGTGGGAATGTGTTAATTTGGCCTACAGATGGTAGCCATTGGTTAAATATTAAGATTATTCTAGAAGAGTT